TTAGGTGGCTTGTTAGGCTGTTAATTTGTGTTCCTTCCATTTTCTTCATGTGTGTTTGTAGGGATATAAATTCCCCTCTTACTACAGCTTTTAAGGCATCCCAGAGATTTTGGTAAGATGTTTCTTCATTTTCATTTGTTTCCAGGTATCTTTTGATCTCTGTTTTGATTTCATCATTGACACAGGAGTTGTTTAGCATCATGCTGTTTAGTGTCCATGTCTTTTTGGGTTTTGGGGGGACCTTGTTGGTGTCAATGTTTATTTTTATTCCACTGTGGTCCAAGAAGGTGTATGGTAGAATTTCATTCCTTTTAAATTTGCTTATGCTTCATTTGTGTCCAATTATGTGGTCGATCTTAGAATATGTTCCATGCGGTGATGAGTAGAATGTGTATTTTGTGGTCTTTGGATATAGTGTTCTGTAGGTATCAATTAAGTCCATTTGGTCCAGAGTCTCATTGAGGTTCCGGATCTCCTTGCGGATTTTTTGTCCTGATGATCTGTCTAAGGTTGTGAGTGGGGTATTAAAGTCTCCAGTTATGATGGTGTTAGAGTCAATATCTTTCTTTAGTTTTCCTAGAAGTTACTTTATGAAAGTTGGCACACCTATGTTGGATGCATATATGTTTAGGATAGATATTTATTGTTGATGGAGTGAACATTTTATCATTATGTACTGGCCCTCTGTATCTTCTTTAATTTTTAATGTCTTAAATGGTAGTTTGTCTGAAATTAGTATCACGACTCCTCCTTTCTTTTGTGTTCCATTCGCCTGAAAATTTGTTTCCCATCCTCTTACACTGAGTCTGTGTATGTCCTTTCTAGTGAGATGGGTCTCTGATGAGATTGGGCAATTCATAGGCTCCCTAAATCTGTTATTTTCAGATAAGCACTCCAGGTGATTCTACACCTGCTGGCCAGTCATCCAGTTTGAGAAACGCTGTTTAAAATGCATTGGAACAATTCCTACCAGCTACAAACAAAAGTAAAGGAATCTGCTGACAGTCACTGTGCTTTTGTCAGCATGGAGGGACACATATAGGGAGGCAAGCAGGAAGGAGCCTCTAATTTTGAACACACTAGTCTACAGGCACCCTTCACAACCTGTCAAGTGCTGTTCAGGATGTGAGTACAATTTAATAACAGAGGTGATTTTGTATCTCAGAACAGACCCCAAATTACTAACCAGCCAACCCTAATCTTCCCAGGTTAGTAAACTCTGTTGGGTCGATGCCAGATGGGAAGCTGCTATTCAAACAAAACCCGAGGTCACTGTGGGTCCTGACTTGTTTAGACATATGGAATAAAACATCTATAAAAACCTTTATGAAACATAGGGCACTACAACGAAGTAATTCTGATGGTTTACGAAAGCCACGTAGTGCATCACGGACAACATGTAGAAATAGTCACATTGATTCCAAGGTTCCCGTTATCTGCAAAAAGGTGTGCTATGGCTGTGTCAAAAACAAGGCAGTCGCTGTTCATGATAGCTGCGGCCACCCTGTTGTGGATGAACCGGGGCGTGGCCTCCCAGGTCAGCCTCCGCCAGTTCCCATTCAATTCCAGTCTGTAGACAAAGTTCTCGGCTTGCTTGCAGGTACCAATGAGCAGGACGATGGCGAAAAACTGCTGGTGGACTTCGTACTTCTCTTGTTTCTCCAGCACCAGCATGAAGTAATGACCAAAGCACGACTGCATCATCACCCAGTCAACGGCCTCTGGCAGGTTAATGTCTGTAGCTAGAAAGACAATGTCTTCTCCCTGAAGGGTGGTAATGCTCTTGTTGGTGTGCATGAGGTGGGACATCATGGCTTCCAGGGACTCCTACCACTTGCAGGAAGCACCGGGACAAGGGCAGGAGTAGGGACGGTATTCACAGATGTCTTCGTGTTCTGGCTTCTCTGTATGGTGCAGGGTCAGGGAACAGCACAGTGGCATACTTGCAGGGAAACAGGACTGCTGAGGCCAACTTCTCCATAGCCAGGTTCCTGATGCTGGGTGTCAGGGCACCCCTGCATGTCGGGCAGCAGCTCAGCTTCTGGCGGCATTGGTTACACACCAGGTGCCCGGCCTGGCACTGCAGGATGGGAGGCAGGACATAGTCAAAGTAGACTGGACACTCGAAGAGCAAGGGCAACTTGTGGTGCTGCAGGGACATCGGGCTGGCCCCACCACCACCACCACCGCCAGGGCCTGAGATCACCACCGCCACGGCAGGCACTGCGG